CCACACTCTGGCGCGGCCCTTCAGCCAGAGCTCACGGCATCACTCACTTAGCTTGTAATTACGACGGAAAGCCTGCCCCACTGCCGCACCTGCTCCCCACTCTATTAGCGTATCACAATAACACCCCGCTAATTTCGCCACGCATTTCGCGCAATTTTAGGCGGACGATAAAATGGGCGTGATGATGCTGTTGTTGGGGGAAGGGGCGGGAGGGGCTGAGGGCTGCTTGCAGCGGCGGTCCGGGGGACAATGAGTCCGAATTATTTAACGAGAACATGAGGGTCCCTACGCGGCGGTCTGCGCCCACCACCACCACCGCCGCACGCTGGCATCATTGTTTGCGCCTTTATAGAGTCAAGTTAATATGCACCTCTCAGTCTATGGCCCCGCCGGTACCGCCCCGTCCAGCCAGGCGAGGCGGCCAGCACCGGAGGGAAAGAGGGGGTAAGGTCGCTGCCGGGCGTTGCGGGCCGTGGCAACAGCAGAGTCGACCGGAGGGGGTAGGAGTGCGGGGGGTAGAAGTTTGCAGTGGAGCTGGTGGCATTTGACTGGCTTTGTACTTCCATTAGCGACACCGCCCTGGCCGCCTGGCCGTGTGGAGCAGAAGGGTCAAAGTGGTAGGGGGAGGAGAGGGGGGGGGGTGGCGACGAGCGAGTTCAGCGACCTTACTGGTCGATCCACCGTTGTGATTATAGTGTCATTTGAGGACGTACACCACCCTGGATTTAACAGCAAGGTGCGCAACAGGGGCACCTTCCGATAGGCTGCGGCGCCTGCCGAGCAACCAAGAGCGCGTCAGAGCATCGGCGCCGCCACCCGCAGTGTAGGCAGCCCGCTTGCATCAGCGTGTGCAGAGTCATCGGGGCGGGGCGGGGCGGGGCGGGGCGGGGCGTGGCAGCGGGGAAAGGATCGGTGAACGGACGTGATCTGCATCCGCGCGTCTGATGCCTTTCACCTCCCCTACTGCGCCAAACCGCCGCGCCCCGCCGCGTCCCTACGAGGCGGGGGCCACTAGGCAGCCTCACTGCAGCAGTCCCGGGGGCGGACGGGAAGCGAAACGGAACGCTACCGATAGAGGCGCACCCGAGTCAGAGTAGTATGCGGAGATATCCCCGCCCCATCCCGCCCCGCCCCCGTCCTTGTGACACAAGCGCGCCGCAGTGGGCGTTGAGGGGCTGTCCAGAGGGGCGGCCGTCCGGGCGGATCTGCCTTCGCGGGGGTTGCGGGCGCGGGCCTCGCGGTGGCCGTGAAACCTTTCTATTGCACCCGTCTCTCGCGCGCCTCGGACAACTTTGTCGCGTCGACTTTGAAAAGGCGCGGGATTGCTGAATCTTTCACAATCCCGCGCTCCACTACTCGCCTCGCGCGGGGGCGCGGCGGGGCGCGGCGGGGGCGCTACAAGGGGCTCATCCAGCTGAGGGGCGGCGGCGGGGCGGGCGGGGGCTGCAGTCCGGGTGAATACCAATGAACACGCCGTGGACACGAAGTTGCGGGGCTCCCCGCGCAGCCTGCCAAGCAGGGCGGGGAAGAAACGAGTACTGTTTCTATTGGGGGACCTGTGTACCTCCTCATGTAGGTTTAATACGGTGCCCGCGGCGGCACTCAAAGCCGGGGCCGCCGTCCTGGGCTCGAGCCACACCGAGCGGTCCACCCCCCCCC